CCAAATAGAAAGGCACATTTCAGCTGAACACGGACAATATCATCAGCCTTTCCCAAAAGTGTTTTGTCTCTCAGGTGCCTGAGATTTCTCTGGCTGATGTGCATGAAACATTATGTACTCGGCAAAACAGATGAAGGGGCATCAGGTTCAGAAGAGCAGTACTGTGATTCCTATTCGATCATCTTTGGCACTCCAGTGCTGAGGAGTGCCATGAGCCTATCAGCTGCAGTAAAAAGACACACGGTCACATTCAGGGAAGAAAAGAGCCATCACTTTCTGCACAGTAAGTAAGATTCTTCAAGATGTTGTAATCAGACTAGTTTCTAACATCTGCTTTCCGCTATCCCTTCCTTTCAGACACCCAGCATTACAAACTTCTAGTTAGGGGAAACTGAGGCGAGGCCATGGCCATGCCATGCTGTTGGTCCCCTGAGGAGGTTGTAAAGGAGGTACAAATGGCCTTAGTGTTGCTTGCCTGCTTGCCCAAACTGCTGGCCCAAAGATTTCCAACTGGGAGCCACATGAATATGCACATGTACAGTTGATTCCACAACACTGGAAAAATACAGTTAGGAGACAGTCTGTCCTGTTTCTAAATACTCATTAACAACTCTTGATGCCAAAGTAGTCGGAATCAATTCCAGTGCAATCAGGAGCTGACACCCAAAGTGTGAGACATGTACTTTCTGAGATTTTTAAAGAGTAGAGATTTGTCCATGAATGACCATTTTTAAAAGCAAACTGCAAAGCCAAGCTAGAGAAAATTTTCACTGTTTTATTGTTATGCTTTAGAAGAATGGCCTTGAGGGTGGAGTCCTTTTTTTACCACTTGTTTTTCACTTCCCTCTGTTCTCAAGAGATTTTTGGCAGGATCTTTGGAGGATATGAATTGTGATGTCACCAAAAAAATGAGCCTGGACCACAGTTCTCCCTCAACAAACTATCCGAAATCCTTCTTTGTCAGGATGCACTCCTACAGACGAGCTTGCTTAGCTTGGCCTGCTTTGAATTCTTGAGTTATTTGGTTGGAGTAGAGGTGTGTTGCCAGAGCTGGGAGGGAAGAACTGGTGTCCAGAGCCAGGGATTGTCCTTCTGGGGAGGAACTTGGCTAAAGACCCATTTGTACAAAGCCCTGCAAAAACCTGCAGCCAGCTCTGCACTTCAGTTAAATGTGTATCATTTTTCAACACGGTGAAGATTAATTGCAGGCAACAGCACTAAAAATACGGTTATTTGTGACACATTGTATGAAGTTTTATGCATGTAATGTTAGCAGTACACTGGCAGACAGAGCACCAGACAGGGTCCCTATTCCCAAAGAAGAGATCAGACACAAATTCATGTCTTTCACCACAGGCAGATATTTATTTACAAGACTGATTTTGTCTGTAGCATTATAAACTATAGTTAGCTTTCAGACACTGGCATGATTTCTGGACACACTGAGGAATTCAAGAGAAATACTGCCTTGACTTCATAATGACAGAATTTTGACTATTATTTTGGGTATGTAAGACTAGAAGGATGACCTGGGTCATAGAGTACAGAGCTCTGTTATAAACTAACATTTAGTGTAATTCTGTTTATAATTATAATGATTTTCTTATTAAAAAATGTCTTGTTTACTTGATCCTGTAATTCTGATTATTGTTTACTGCTGTACTCTTTGTTGACAGGAACCACATCCTTTCACAATCTTGACTTATCTAGGCTTAAAATGGTCTATTTCTTCCAGCTTCTCCTCGTACAATAGGGCTTTGATTCCCCTGACCATCCTCCTAGCTTTTCTTTATACATTTTCCATTTTGATGTAATTTTTCCTAAAGAGGGATAGCCAGAATTATGCTCAGTACTCCAGAGCTTTACACTGTGGAGTTGAGAACTACCTTAAGAGTACCTACCTTAAGATGACTAATGCATCCTAAAATCTCATTTAACTCTTTCCTGTTTGCTTTGAATTGTTGGATTATAATCACTGGTTGGGAGTATAGGTTGTTCCCTGCAAACAAGTGAGTTACTGGAGGGGGTTATCTTCTCTATTTGCTTTCAGCTGCTTTTTACTTTCCCACATATGAAGATCTGCCAGTTGAGGTACACATGTAAACTCTGTCTGATGTGTGTCAAAGTAAGCGTGATCATGAACAGGTTAAACAATATTTCCACTTACTTTGATAACTGCAGCAGGTTAGGAGGTGGATACATGGACACATGGAAGGAGGCTGTAACCCCCGTACATCAGGAGCACCAGGGGAATGATGGCTTTGTAACTGGGTATAGGGAGAGCCAGAGGAGACAGACGCTTGTCCTTGCTAGACTCTGCAGGAAGTCACTTGTGAGGATGGATAGTCTTGAATATAATGCTGCTGCTGCTTATTGAATTTTGCTCCCTTTAGATGTGCTTGGAGCAAACCTACGAATGAAGACATTCATGTGAGGCATTTTATGATCCAGTGGAGAGACATGGTCTGGGAATGACCTGGTGTGCACTCCCTCTTCTGTCACCAGCTTACTGTGTAATTTGGGCAAGTCATTTCATCCTTCTGTACTGCAGCTTCTCCGTCAAAAAGAATTAAATGAGATTTGCCTTCCTCTGTGCAGCACAGCAACCTACAGGTGAAAGGGGTGAAAGGGTCTCAGTTATTTTTCCTTACGTAATCAGTCACAAAATCCTTTAGGTTGGAAGGGACCTCTTGAGATCATCCAGTGTTTGAACACGCTCACAGTAAATAAGTGTTTTCTTCTGTTCAGGTCGAACTTCATATGGTATAACTGGTGCTAATTGCCTCTTGCCTGTCAGTGGACACTACTGAGAGGAGTCTGGTTCCCTCTTTTTCATCCCTTCCCATCAGGTATTTATAAACATAAATCAGATTCCCCCTGAGCCTTCTTTTCTCCAGGCTAAACAGTCCCAGCTCTCTCAGTCTCTCCTCATACGAAACATACTCCAGTGCATAAATCATCTTAGTGGCCCTGCACTGGCCTCACTCCATTAAGTCCATATCTTTCTTGAACTGGGGATCCCAGGACTGGACACAACATTCCAGGTGTGGCTTCATTGGTCCTGAGCAGAGGGGAAGGATGGCCTCCCTCGACCCGCTGCCAGTGCTCTGTCTAATGCAACACAAGATGGTGTTGGCCTTCTTTGCTGCATAGGTACATTGCTGGCTCATGGTCAACTTGGTGTCCACCAGACACTCAGGTCCTTCTTTGCAGAGCTGTTTTCCTGCTGGTAAGCCCCACAGTGTGTACTGGTGCATAGGGCTTATTCCTCCCCAGATACAGGACTTTGCGTTTCCCTTTGCTAAACTTCACGAGGTTCCTCACTGCCCACTCCAGCCTGTTGAGATCCCTCTGGATGTCAGTGCA